GTTTTTTTTAATTGGCAGCATTTTTTCAATTTTTGAAACTGAAATAGCAACATTTACCATAATAGCGAAAAAGAAGCTTCTTTTTTTGAGTTTTGTTTTGTTCCGTTTTTCCTGGATTGTGCTTTGAACACAGATATCCAGAAATGACCATGTAGCAAAACTCTACTGTCCCCTGGAACAGCGTCAGTTCCACTTTCTCCTATCTAGAAGATATTATGGTATTCCAAGGAGAGCTATGCTGTATGGAGAATTTCCACAGTTAGGGGTGTAAAATGAACGTGCAAATATGAGTGGTCTTGTGGAAAAGTAACCTTAGAATAGTGAAATCACGTCCATAGACCCAGAAAGATGCAAATGGGCATGGAGTCCTGATGTCGTCACTTGGAGATTTGGATGCAAAGTTCAATGTTGGTTCTTTTAAGAGTGGCCGGGATACAAATCTAACTGAATAGTTTGCGTACATATGTTTGTGTGTGTTTGCTATGAAATTCTATGTTAGGACTTCGGCATCCAAGGGCAAAAAAATAATACATGATAGGTGCTTTATTTTTTAGCTAGAGTGATTAATGTGGTTGTTTTTATTTGCCATTTTGGTTTTGAAAATTAATCAAACATTACTGTCAATCTTCCTATTAAGTAGATGGTGTGAATTTTTAGTCAGCTGACTTTTAAAAATGTTTATGCTTTATCATGTAAATTAGCCTTACCTAATCAGTTGGAAAAGCCTTAAGGGTCAAAGCTGAAGTTTTTCAAAGGAAAAGAAATCCTGCCTTAAGGATAAAGCATCCAGTCAAGCTTGGTTTTGGACTATCAGCCTGCATTTTAGATTTTACACTTGCCAGGTTCAACACTGGCATGAGTCCATTTTGGAAGATAAATCATATATGTGCACGTATGTACACACAGATGGATATATACATGGGAACTTCAAAAATTCATGGATAAATGCAATTAAAAGATGGAGTTTTCCCACAGCCTTTGGAAGCCCATAAGCACATCTTTATCATATATGCATATTCATCTAGATGTCACATCTCCATCACATTGCCATTGTGAGATATGACCTGTGGTGTCATTCCCTTCTTTCCTACTGGACATACTGTCATTCATCCATTTATTCAAATTAGATCAAAACACTGACTCTAGAAATCTTCTTTAGAATTCATTTGAAAAAAAAAATTTAAGATTCTGTTCATCTTGAATCACTCTTAATAACATTACAATTTCCTATTGCTTCCATTTTTCTGGAGAACCCTGCTAGAACAAATGCTAATTTTGAGAGTTTATTTAGTGTGGTTTGTCTTTGGTAAATAGAGATCTACTGGCAGAACTCGCTTTACCTTCTACTGTACAAGAAGAAAGTAAAATTCAAATGCACAGAGACCCAAGGCTGATTTCCACAAGACAGAGGTCACATATACCTGTACTTTCTAAACTCCTACCCTATTGTGAAACTGGGAGAAAGACAAGGCCTGCTGCTCCCACAAAGAGTTACAGTGTTAACCCTCCCAAGGTTACTTCTAACCTGTCTACAGGGTGCCTGGGAGATGGGGGTTCCATGACAGTGGGGTTTTTTGGAGGGGGGGGATTCTGATACTAGCTGTCCCTCCCAGGGAATTCTGTGTGTCTGCTGGGTTCCATAGTCTGTTGCAATGACCATACAAAACTGAAAGACCATGCTCCCGATTATGCAGTTTATTAGGAAAGCTTACAAAATGTTAAGTAGACCATTCTTTTGTCCTCAACCCTTCTCAGCCATGCTGGCAGGCTCCTTTCCCAGAACAGGTAAAGTTTAGTGTCTTCAGACTGGGAGCTAGTTAGGAGTGGGGCGGGGGTTGGGTGTCACTTTGACATTTATGAACAAAGTCATGGCTCATTTGCCTCAGCAGGTCAGAGGCCAAGATAGCGTGTGTTTGAAAGGCCAAAGGTCATAGAAAGAGGAGCCTGCCAGCATGCATGGCAGAGAAGCCTTCGTAACTTGTACCAAGTGATTAGGTGGTAACATGCAAATACAGATTTGGTCAAGTTTGCCATTTCTTTGGGGAGAAAGTGTTCCATCTCTGAATCAGAAAGGAAGAAACTCAGGACCATCCAAAGGACAGGAACAAATCCCATCCAAGACGCTGTGCAGGAAGTGGTCATGAGCAGCACAGAGGAAACAGACACACGACACCGGGGCCGTGGACTTCCTGGTCTCAACTTAATATCTTTATTTCACTTTCATAAAACCAAGGTACATTAAAAATTCACTCCCATACTTGTAATTTTAAAACAAGCATGCTTCTGCCCAACTGTGGATTTTAAACATCTAGGAGTCAGCATAGAATAAATGAGACGGCTCAAAAAAGGTTGCAGAAACAGCATAGAAGGGTTGCAGCCTTGAGTATGCACACTTACACTTCTGATCTATGTGGCCTCCTGGGACTGATTTCTCTGGTCAAGAGGAGAATATGATCTTTGAATATCTGATAAGGTCATAAGTATAATTTCAAATATGCTTATGGGAAATCCATACGACAGCTTCTACAGCCACTAACCTGCTTCTGCCCCTAGGGTAGTCTATGTAATCTTTATTGCTTATCCTGGATGGTAATGGGGGCAGCAGGAGTGTTCTGATGAATGCCCTACTTAGGAAATATTAGCACTAGCTCATGCACCAATTTCAAGTTATAAAGTAGAAATGACAAGTGACTCCACCATAAAAATGTGGTAGATAGCACAAGTTAATCTGAAACACAAAATGGTAGTTAAAGCGTGTCTTCTTTAACTTATAATCATTATAGTATACATTCTATATACATCAAACCTACTGCCAGCCTGTGGATGACAGCTGACTGCAAATATACAGGACAGAATAGAACTGCCCCATAAGGTTTCCACAGCTGACTGCAGAACAGTTGGTGGATTTGAACCACTAACCATTGGCTTTTTATCCACTCTGTCACTAGGGCTCCTTACAGATATTACAGAATATGCAAATATAAGTTGATCCTGAAATATAAATTCTATACTAAAATTCCAATAATTAGGGAACCAACATAGTGGAATTGCATAGATATTCTAACACAAATGCAGCAATGGTATTTGTTTTTGGTTTCAATGCCATTTCTGCATGTATTGCCACACACACAATCGAGAAACTATCATCCTTCTTGGATAACTATCTACAACTACAAAATATTCTACACACTTAGCTCTAGATGCCTTTTGAATGATATATCATGCATAGTTTGGATAGTTTTTCGAATAATTCATTATTATCTGGTATTTGATCATCTCCAGCCTGCTTTCATTGTCTTGAGTTCTATTAAGAATCATCAATTAAATACAAAATGAATTTTGTTATTTGGGTAAACTAAAACAATTCCATGAGTTCAGGAAAATTCACAGATTAGAGGATTGTAAAATATGTGATATATTCTAGTGATCAATCTAAGATAGGAAGACAAAGAAAATAGTAAGCCGGAAAATAATGTTTCCAAGTTAAGTCATCTTCTGGGTTATGAGTTCAATGTTATGTGCAAGTCAACCTGAAACATATCAACGCAGAAGCAGTCTTGTAGCATGTGATAGAATTTTAACTTGCCTACTCACCCACAGGAGACATTTCTGGGACACTGGCAATGTAAGGCCCATCCAAGAACTTTGGCTCATTATCGTTAATGTCCTGCACTTTGATGATGAATTCCGATTCCGGCTCCAGGGGCTTCCTTGTGTCTATGTCCACAGCCTGGGCACGAAGTGTGTAGAAAGGTTTTTCTTCTCTATCCAAGCTCCTTATCGCATGGATGTCTCCTGTGGTTTCATCAATGGTGAAAACAGTGCCGGCGCCATCTCCTGAGAGCGTGTACTTGACCGTGCCCTCTCCCTTGTCTAAGTCGGAATGGAGCTTTCCCAGAGAGAGAGAAAGAGAGAAAAGGCATGCTTATTAAAGGCACATTCTCATCTACATTTTACTATCTGTCAGACAAGGTTAAGTGGGGAGGGGGTATCTTTAAATTTATTTCCAATTATATATTATAAAAACTTAACATATTAATTTAAAAAAAGGATAGTGAACAACCAAATATGTCTATTTTCCTACAGATTCCCTTTAAACCCTTAACTTTCATTGCTTATTGCATATGTATCCCTTTAACACCCTTTCTGTCCATTTAAAAGTCTATATTATTTTTTGGATGGGTTTCAAAATAAGAAGCAGACAGAAAAACTATAGTGTCAAATGTGTCTTGATGCAGAAAACCCATTATGTTGAAGGCTGGATTTAATCACTGCCATGGAGTCAATGCCAACTCATAGTGACCATCGAGGACAGAGTAAGACTGCCCTGTGGATTTCCAAGACTAACTCTTTACTGGAGTAGAAAGCCCCTTGGAGTTCATACATTTGCATTTATCTATGCATATTCTTTTCACAAATGAAATTCAAAAATCTTAAGTTCACGTATTATTTCACTTTAAATCATTGCTGTCAAAGGGATTAGTGGTTCATAAACATGAATTTGTAAACTTTCCAAAAGCCCTGAAGAGAAATCATAGACGTGAACCCAGAGAGGTAAATAAGGTAAAGATGCCCCCCAAATAGGTTGCTGTCTTCACTTGAAATGAAAGAAAAATTTGGCAAATAGGGTGCATGCAAATACCCTGATATTACACAACTGTGGTTTATGATACAAGGGCACTTCCAAACTTTGAATCAAAGGATAATATAATTTTTCCATAATGTTTTTAAGTCCCCTGGTACAGTCTAAAATAAAATTAACTTACATAATACTGAGTGAGGTCATCAAGAAGAAACTTGTCACTGTATTAATGTACATTGATGCTCCTCTAATTAGAGTCAAATAATAAAAGGAAGAAGAAAATAATCCCAAAGATTTGTAAATTGTCTATGTTATCCATATCCAACTATTTGTTAAACTCTTGATTTTCTTGTTGCTGTGTGATTGCAGTTCTGGAAGAAGTGTTTCAAATACTATCAGGATGGCCCAAGGTGTACAGATTTCAACTGAGGCTACAAACTAAGATGGATTAAGACAAAGGAACAGGTGAAAAATGAGGCACTGGCAACCATACGAATACGACTGAAACATCTTCAGATAGAATGTCAGAAAACAAGTCCTGTGGTTCACAGGCATTCAAAATAAAATTTAGGGAGAGTTGCCTCCTCAGACCTCAGAAAAGAGTTGACTTCTAATGCCAACAATGAAATGAGGGAGGGGAAAAAGAAGAGCTGATACCAAGGGCTTAAGTAGAAAGAAATTTTGGAGGAAATGTTGATGGTAACATATGTACCAATGCTTAACAATACTGAATGATGGATTGTTATAAGATTTTTAAGAGCCCCCAAATAAAATGATACATTTTTTTAAAAAGCTTCAAGAGCATTAATATTCCAAATTAGTACAGCTTGAAATGAACAAAAGGTGGCAAACATCCATTAATAATCAGGGTGCATGATGTATAAGCGATAAATCTGGGACAAATGGAAGCCATCAGAAGTGAAATGCAATGAACACAGATCAATATTCTAGGCATTAGCACCCTGAACGAGAATGGCCTTTCCATTTTACATCAGATAATCGGATCATTTAGTATGCTGGAAAATGGCCTAATATTCACCATTCAAGTGACTATTTCAAGCTTGATCTTGAAGGACAGTGCCGTCAGTGGTAGGGTCATGCTCATTTGTCACAAGGGAGAGCCGTCATTATGACTGCAATACCAATTCACTTGCCATTCACGAAAGCTACAGATGATGAAATTGAAGAATTCGATCAAATTCTCCATTTTGAAATTGAAAAAAGAAATACAATCACTACACAGTGATAATCACTGGTGATTATCAATGTGAAAGTTGAAAACATAGAGGAAGGATCAGTAGTTGGAAAATATGATCTTGGTGATAGAAATGCTTTGAGAGATCTCACAGTAGAATTGCACAAGACTGATGCCTTATAGGTTGTAGATATATTTCTCAACCATAAATAGGAATCGAGTTCATGGGAGTGAGTTTATGCAGGTGGAACTTTGCTAGATTAATACAAAGGCATGAAATAAATTATATCTGTGAAAATATATGATTGAGGAAGTTCAAAATAATCAGCCAAATGAAGGCCTGTGGCCAAATGTAGACCCTACCTTCAATCACACATTTGCAATTTTATGTTGAAGCTATAGAAATCGAGAAACAATTAAAAATATGGTCTTGAGTTTATCCCACCTGAAGTTTGAGAATATCTCAGTAGTATATCTGGCCTACTGAACTCTGTTCACCACTTGTCCATCAGTTTGTCATACTGTGGTGGCTTCTGTGTCGCTGATGCTGTGGGCTATGTCTCTAGTATATCTCATACCAGACAGGTCACCCAAATGAGCAGGTTTTCAGCAAATCTTCCAGACTAAAGAATAGGAGATATGTCACTGTGTTGAAAAGCAAGGATATTACTTTGAGGACTAAGGTAACTGGCCCCCCAAATGGCATTTTCAATGACTTCATATGCATGCGAAAGCTGGACATCGAACAAAGATGAACAAAGACAAGTCAATGCATTTGAACTATTATGTTGGTGAGGAATATTGAAAGAATCGTTGACTGCTAAAAGGACAAGCAAATGTATCTTGGAAGAAGTACAGCCAGAATCTTCGGCTGGGACAAGGATGACAAGGTCTCATCTCACGTACTCTTGGCATGTTATCAGGAAAGACCAATCCCTGAGAAGGAAGGACATCATGCTGAATAAAGTGGAATGGCAGTGAAAAGAGGTAAGCCCTGGATGAACTAGCTGTACATGTAGCCACAGTAGCAGCAGTGGGCTTGGGCATAGGAACGATTTAAGATGGTCCAGGTCCAGGCACTGTTTCCTTGTTTTGTACATGGTGTCCTTATGAGTCCGAATTGGCCCAGTGGCACCTAACACCATTGTACACCAATCCCCTTGGGCCACAGGAGTTATGGATTAACATCAGACACATCCTACCTAAGAAAACAAAAGTTATTAAAAACACAAGGGAGGCAGTAAAAACTAGTACGGATATTAGGAAAGATTCTTAAACTTGTTTTGAATCTGCAGAAGAGAAAGCAACAGGAAAAAACGATGAAAGAACAAAGCTCACCTGAAGATTTCACAGAAACATCCTCAAAGAACAGAAGATAAACATCAAGCCTTGACTTGGGCTTGGAGGATTCTATAGGCAAATAATTAAATTATAGAGGAAGCATCAGAAGAAGATGGAAGGTGTAACAGAGAGCTATCTCATCAAAGAATTGGTTGATTGATGTTCAATCATTTTAAGGATTAGCATATGATCAAGTATCAATAGTATTAAAGGAAGAAGTCCAAGACTCAATAAAGGTATTGGTCAAAAGCAAGGCTCCACGCTTTCTTGGAATACCAATGAAATGTTTCAACAATTTTTTTACAGTGCTAGGGAGCCCTGGTTGTGTAGTGGTTTCAGGTTGGGTTACAAGCCACAAGGTTGGCACTTTGAAGACACCAGTAGCTCTGTAGGAGGAAGAGGGGCGCTCTCCTCCCATAAACAACTATAGTTTCAGAAACTCCCAGGGCATTGCTATGAGCCAGCATTGACTCAATGGGTTTGGTTTTGAGAGGAACTTACTCATCTATGCCAAGAAATACATGGCCAACCAACTGGAAGAGGTTCATATTTGTGTCCGTTCCAAAGAAAAGTGACCTTACAGAATATGGAAATTTCTGAGCAATATCATTAATATGTCATAAAATAAAAGTTTTGCTGAAGATAATTAAGACCTGTTGCACCAATAAATTGACAAGTAGATGGGAGAAGTTAAAGTCAGATTCAGAAGAGGACTTAGAACAAGGATTATAATTTCTGACATCAGATGTTCCTTGACTGAAAGCGGAGAATGCAAGAAAGACATTTATTTGAGTTTTTTAGACCACAAAGACATTCTACTGTATGGATTATAAATCACTATGGGGAAAAATGGGATGAATGGGAATTCCAGACCATTTCATTGCTCATGTGAAAGCTGTATGTAGGCCAAGAGGTACTTGTCTAACTGAAGTAGAAAACACTGGATGGTGAGAATCAGGGAAGTCATTGCATCCTCTCACTATACTTACAAAACTTACGTATAGAGCCACTATCTGAGAAAGGGAACTATATGAAGAGGAACAGGGCATCAAGAGTGAAGGGAGGTTAAAGGGTGGCTCATTGACAACCTGTAATATGTAGGTGCCATAACTTTGCTGACTGAGATTCAAGACTCAAAACATTAACTTATGAAGTAAAAACACGACAACCTTCAGTATGGATTACAAATTAAAGAAAACAAAAATCCTCCCAGTTGGATCAATAAACTATAGATAATGATAAATTATAGAAGCCTGAAGTTATCAGGAATTTGATTTCACTTGCATCTACAACCAGTCCTCGTGGAAGCATAAGATGTATTGCATTAGGTATGTCTCTTGCAAACTAACTCTGTTTTTTTCATTAAATACTTTTATCGGGGGCTCTTACATCTCTTATCACAATCCATGCAATCTTCCAGTGTGTCAAGCACATTTGCACGTATGCTGCCATTATCATTTTCAAAGCATTTTTTCCTACTTGAGCCCTTGATAACAGCTCCTCATTTTCCCCTCCCTCCCTTGCCCATCCTCTCTCATGAACCCTTGACAAGTTATAGATTATTATTTTCATATCTTAAATCATCCTCTCTCACCCTTCACCCACCTTTCTGTTGTTCGTCCCCCTGGGAGGGGGTTATATGTTGATCCTTGTGATTTGATTCCCCTTTTCTACCCCCCACCTCCCCCTTATCCTCCTGGTATCTCTATTCTCATTGTTGGCCCGGAAGGTTTTATCTATCCTGGATTTCCTGTGTTGTGGGCTCTTATCT